GATTTTTATTATTTGATGTTACCTCGTTAAAAACCTTTGTAGCATAAAACCCTCGCAGCAGACTCCCATGCTTCCTCCACGAATTAACATCTGAGCACGAAAGTCCATTAGATGTTGACTAGGATCCTGTTTTCCGTCAAACGGTTCCACCTGCTGATACGAAGCTTTTCTTTGACAAACCAGACCTCATATTGACGATCCGAACATTGTAGGTGCTTTATGACAACCTTTCACACTACACAAATGTCTTACAATATTCAAGAAATACAATAGGAGAGAGAGAGAGAGAGAAAAAGAGAAATTTCGAGCTCTAGAGAGTGCTAGACGAAATTTTCGGGGCCCTGAGAAATGAGCCCCAACTGTCTATTTATAGACTTCGGGAAGGGGGTCCAGAACGGCCCGTTCCAAAATCGGAACGGCCGTTCTGGATATGGTCGTTGCATGTAAAATTCGTATACTGGAATAGCCCGTTCTGAAATCGGAACGGCCCGTTCCAGTAGTGAGAATAACATGTGATTTCTTAGACCGGAACGGCCTTGAAACGGCCCGTTCCAGATTTAGGAACGGCCCGTTCCGGTTTAGGAACAGCCCGTTCCGTTTTAGGAACGGCCCGTTCCGTTTTAGGAACGGCCCGTTCCAGTTAACCATTTTAGCCCTTTTTGAGGAGTTTGGAACGGCCTGTTCCAATCTTGGAATGACCCGTTCCAATTTCAGAACATCCCGTTCCAAATTAGGGTTTTTGGCCTTTTGGGAGCCTCGGAACGGCCCGTTCTGGACCTTGGAACGACCCGTTCCGATTTTGGAATGGCCCGTTCCGGGCCAATAAAAATATTTAATTTGTGCTTTTGGGCCTTCTAAAGTTCTGTCTTCTTGTTGGCATGCTTCGGGAGCTCCTTCCCTTCGTAACAGAGGTCCATGTCCTTGTTTGTATGCCTCCGGACGAAATTGGGTGTCTACATGTACCTGTAACAAAATTTCAGGTATTTTTTTCTCCGAATTGATGTTTGTAAATTTCTTTAGTACCGATATAAAATGAAGGGACATATTTAGTTATAAGAGAGTAGGGTAGTTGTCCCAATATTTTTTTTAATCATTTATAAAATTATAAATAAAATATTTTAAATCACAAATTATAAAAAATTTGAAATGTTGTTTAGAATAAATTTTAGCATGTGTGGGATTACATAACTTTCTTCGTAAAGAATGTCATTATGATGCATTTCCAATTGAAGTGATGAACGAACCTTCATCTTTAACATTACTGGTTAATGAAAATCATAATTTTGAGCCTATTATTAAAACACAGGAGCAAGAGCGACCGAAAAGATACTAATGTTTGGAGGACTAGTATAACTATGAATATGTGGGTGAATTCTATTTAGAACGACATGATATTACAAAAAATTATTATTATTTATCCAGACATTATTATTTTTTAATTATTTTTATATTTGACTCTTTTTAAATTTGAATGTATGAAAAAAATCTTGAATTCTTATCTTATGTAAAAAATTTATGAAATTTTGCAAAGTTCACAAAGTCCTGTAGAATCCATTAAAATCTAACTTAAAAGTCTTGCATAATCCATTAAAATCCTGATTGAAAATCTTATGGAATTCTACAAAATCTTAAAAGTCATGAAAATCTTGCAAAGTCTTTTAAGATTCACAGAACTTTTTTGAACTAAAAAAGTCTTTTAAAATCCTAATTCAATACACCTCCCTTAATTATATATGATTGTTTACTATGATGTGGTTGTTTAATTAATGAGAAGTATTTTCATTAAAATATGAAATTGAAAAACAACTCAATTACAATTGTAATATAATGGAAAGATAAATTAAAAATATTGTGCGTATTTTTTTTTTGCAAAAAAAAATAAATTTTTGGATATACTCAATACCCGACGGGGATAGAGATGAAACAAAAATTACATATCCAAAGAGTATGAGGACGAGGACGGAAATGGATTTAAACCGTGAAAATAGGGACAGGTATCATAAAACTTGTTTCTGACCCGCCCCGTTACCATACCTACCACCAAGTCGATTCTTTTGAATAAAATGATAATTCCAGTTAAAATTTTATACTCGAATTAGAAATTAAATCTCGATTATTAATTAATAAATACAAATATTGAACCACACATATTAACAACATATAATAAAATGAACTTTTATTATCATGTTTTAAAGAAACTCAACTATCTACGAATTACGTGGAACTTGTGAGACGATGGAAAGTTGTTATTAGTGCTTGTTACCCCAAAACAATGACCAAAGCATAAGACAAGTTCATATTAGTTTTATAAGAAAATTTGAGACACTTTATTGACAGGTTACAAAAGTTGCCTTCAGAATATCATTTACTACCCCTAGCACACACCTTATGTAGTAACAACTAATCCAAACTCTAAAGCTCCTCGGTTTTGGAGCCTTATGAAACTATGACTGAAGTTAGCAAGGAGTACTTTGCTTAACCAAAAACCATAACACTAGCTAGGAGTACTTTAAGCATTAACAAAAGGGAGCAACCAAATTGTATAGACCAGCTTTGCTTGCTGCACTAGCCACACTGAAATTGCCATGAACATCATCTAAGTTCCACAGACCATCCCACAAATTTTCTTCACCTGAGGTCTCTGGTGCGGAACAACCAGAAGAGCTGCTATTGAGCATAGAGTACAAGTACCCTTGTTCTTCTGTGGTGTTTTGGTGCATGTTGACCATTTCCTGTCTAGTTTGAGATACATAAGGTGCTCTATGATAGTTTTCCTCAAGAAAGGCCATGATGCCTTTCATGTCAAAGTTGAATTGCAATTGTTGTTGTTGTTGTGCTTGCTGCTGCTGAAACTGCAGTTGCTGTTGCTGATGAAATTGTTGCTTCCTCAAGAGTCTATTTCTAGCCTTCTCTGCTGCATCAGAGGGACTTTTTGTCTTTTTCTTGAAGTGAGTCCTCCAATAGTTTTTTATCTCATTGTCAGTTCTCCCTGGCAAGCTTCTTGCAATTGTTGACCACCTGAAGTTTTTTATTTGGATGTCAAGGCCTTGGAATAATTGTGTTGCCTATCATAGAAACATGCAAGTTCAAGAGAAAATTGGGATGCAAATTTTACCTGTTTCCCCATCTAGCATGCAACTCTACAATTATGCTCTCTTCTTGTGGTGTTATCTGTCCCCTCTTGAGGTCTGGTCTCAGATAATTCACCCATCTCAATCTGCAGCTCTTCCCATTTCTCTTCAATCCTGTTAATGAACAACGACAATAGTACATAATTAATCACTTGAACTTAAAACTAATCACAATAATACATAGTTAATCACTTGCCCTTAATATTAAGGAAAAAGATATGATTGATATAGAAAGAAAAAAGTCAAAAAAAAGACTCACAACCACGAGAGAAATTATCAAACGATCCGAAATCATAATAATTTTAACCAATCTTTACCTGATGCATAACTATAAACTCTCTCATTAGTTGAAAAGTTTAACTATATATCACGTAGAGATTCACCAGGACCATAAACACATTATGATCTCAAGCCATATAATAATTGACTGAGACCATCCACATGTTATCATCTCATACCATATAATAACTTCACTTATGGTAAAGTTTTCAAAATAAAGAACTTTAGGTACACATGAATGTAGCCATTATGAGGAGTAGAAGTTGAAAGGAAATTCACTTGTTTTGTTGCTTTAGTTGGATTGTCACTTATAAATGTGAAATCCAATCATATATATTAAGAAACAAAATAGTAAAGAAAAAAAATGGTGGCACAGTTGGATTTTCACCTGCAAGCCTAGCAACAGAGTTCCATCTGCCTTCACCATGCAGCCTGACATACTCAAGAAGCAACCTGTCCTCTTCAGAAGTCCAAGGTCCCTTCCTCCATACCTCTTCCTCTATCACACCCCTTCCTATATGGCCTGCCATAACTTCTCCCCAAAACATAGGCTTTGGATAAAATATTTTCTTCCAATTTTGTGTGACACTGATTTGGTCTAGTGTTTGTTGCATATTTATACCTACAGTTCTGCCCCCAACTTGATTCTACCAGTCAATCAAAGGTCACTTTCTTAACATCTTATGATGTCTATCCATTTCACTGTTTAAGGTACTACGGGTAACACCTTTTTTTTTTATATATAAAAAATATGCATAAATAAATAAACCAAAGTAACACTGAAAATGCTGCATGCTTGTCCATCAAGTGCAAATTGACCAAAAAACCTTTACCTTCTATCTATATATTATTTACATTCGGTTAATACTAAATATTGGTGTTGCCCTTGTGATTGGTCCCACTTCAAAGCAAAATTTTGTGCCAATGAAGGGGTTGGATGATTTTGATCGATCAATATAGGAATAACATGCTATTTTAACAAAAGGGTATGTTTGGAAATTCAATATTGTGTTATGCTATTAGGTGACATGACTAAGGATCTAAAACAAAATAGATTATGTTATTAATGTTGATGCCAAAATGAGACGAGAGAAAGAAAAATGTGGTTGCCTGAGGACACCTGTAATTAGGACCTTTGCACCTGGACACAAAACTACAAGGTATGAGGCATAATCCAAAGGATAACACATAAAATATAGTTAGGTGGTGGCATTTTTAAAATTAAAATTTACAAGAGGACAAATGGGATTTCCCCAGCTGTTGGATTTGCTTACTTCTCAAGGGGTCTATAATCTCTGAAATTTCATTAATTAAATTATAATATTGTTGTTGGATACCATTTTGATTGTGATATTTAAATATTAAGGCTATCATGGCCTTGGACGTCATCTAAGGTGACAGGTGTTGTCTTGTGATCATGTTTTTGGAAAGATGGTGCTGGTGGACTGCTGGAGGCATGAACTCTTTTATGCTATAATAAACAATTAATTAATAATCAAATTATTTTATATAGTTAATCCAAGATATTTCATGCAGTGACAAGAGAATATTAACTTTTCTTTTATAGTATAGAAAATTTATTCAAGTGTTTGTTTTTGCTGCAAGATGTGTATTTTACTTAAGGATAAATAACTGTTGTTTGTGAAATTCAAAAGAGTTCTTCTTTTTTGGAACTCTTTATTATTATTAACTATTAATATTATTGTTGTTGCTGCAATCCTTTTAACCTTTTTTTTTTTGTCACATACGAAGGAAATCCCATGAGAAATCTGAAGTACCTATTATAACTTTGCCTTAAAATAAAGTAATATTTCAAAAGTGAGTTTGAATCTTCTGTTGTTTAAAAGGTAACTGCTTGATGATGAGTAATTTAGTTCAATTGATCATATTTATTTAGTTGTGCTTATATATTTGTTTCCTTCTTTTACAAAATAACTTATTTTTTATTGTTGAGATTTGTGTGCAGTTCTTCAACAGGAGACAATCTCCATCCTTGAATATACCTCATACATACAAATAAATATATAAACATAAGGAGTGTTATTTCTTTTACTTTTATATAACATTATTAAAAAAACAGAAAAATATTAGACGTAGCAATCTAGCAAGGCATATACGTTAATAATAGAAATTGGTTAAAGTAAAGACAAACGTGATTATGAGATTATTTACGTACGTTTGTATTAAATGAAGGTTTTCAATATTCATTTGTCAAAAAATAGTATATATTTTTAATTTTTATCATATTAATTTCAAACTTTAATTTTAAATTAATTATACAAAGTTTTTATAATTGAAAATATATTTAATGTTAATTTTTTAAGTTAATTCAAAATTTTAATTTTAATTTTGATCTAAAATTCACCTTTCCAACTTTAATTAACTTATCGGTTAATTTTGTCAAACATAAACTAATTTTCATTACAAAACTAGACGCTCACAAATGGTACAGTAAATTAATTCAGGGGGATGGCTGATGAGGATTATTAGTTTATTTTATATTTAATGAAAATTATATAAATATACACTTGTAACTCTAAATGTAGGAATCACCATAATCGACCTAGCAGTGAGAAATTAAAGTAATATGCAAAAAGTATCTGATTTAAAATTTGCTATTTTAATTTCAATAAATAAAAAATTATAACTGTAACTCTCAATATAAAATCTCAAAGTCATTGATTACGGCAGTTAATTTTTGCAAACTAGTTGTAATTGTGCATTAGAACTTTTTCTTCTATACTGTATCCATGTGTTGTAGACAATCATGATCCAACTCGTTAGAACTATTATAAATAATATATTTTTAAAAAATATTTAATACAACTATATATATATATATATATATATATCTGAATTTTGAATTCGAAAGTATTAGTTAAATTGTAGCATTCTTGTATCAGTTTATCAAATGTGCATTGAAGTTTCATATACAATTATAACAATTAATTATCTTTTGTCATTTTCTCAATGCACGTGTTATTAGTGCAAAAAATCTAAAATAAAAATTACAACGAAATAAGAAAATGAAAAATAACAATGAATTAGCATTTTTTTTTAAAATAGTCTTAAACATCTTGATAACCACATTAGTTTTACGTACCAAATTGAAAAACAATGATAACCCCATTAATCTTTCCACTTTCTTTTTACTTAATTAACTGCATAACAAAATCTGGTAGATTCTACATGGAATCCGTGTAATGCAGTGATCATCATAATACTAAAGTGATTAAAAACTCTTGAACCAAAGTAAGATCAATATAATTTTTATGCTAATTCAAAACGGTTTCAAAAGGACGACTACATGTATACGAGTTTTACTAAAACAAGTAGTTTAACAGCTAGCGTGTATTGTATGTGCACTAAAAAGAAGTGTTCATTAAAATAAAAAGGTGAGAGAGGATCACATGTGATTCCCTGTGCTGTTAACAATTTGATTTGTATAATATAATGTTTTGTTCTTTTTGGGTGTCTTTTCAATATAGATTATGATCAAGGTTTTAGGATGTTGTGGGGTCACGTTAAGAGTATTTAAATTCATCTAATTTGTCTTTCGGCTTAAATTGTTTAACATGGATAGAGTGATGTTCTGGCATGGCAAGTGTTCTAGAAAACCAATTTCTTAATATGAAGCTTTGACGATCACCCATTAAACTCATTTTTCTCTTTAGTACATGGACATATATGTATACAGTGATTTAAAGCTATCACAACTAAAAATTTAATCTATGTTTATAGTTAAACATTATTTTAATATTAACAAAAATCAATTTTAGAATAAGCATCAGGTTAAAGTGTTTTAAGACCGTTAAACTCAATTTAAGCTTTACTGAGGTAAATTTTAAAATCAAAGCAAAAGTAACCTTTTTAGTCCTCTAAATAATTTTAAATTCATTTATGATCTTCTATTATATATATATATATATTGCTAAATTAGTTCTTTTAGAAGTAAAGCATGTTGAGATTAATTCTTATTTATACTTTTAAAGGGACCAGCCTAGTACAGACAGAATTATAAATAAAGACTGACCTTAGTGTAAAAGGAATAATTTAATGTAAAAAAAAATTGAAAAATCAATAACGAATTTGAAATTTTTTTAAGGAACTTAAAAGTAATTTTATTCTTTAAATTATATTTATTTTAGATGGGATTTTTGGATGATCAATATGTGAATTATTCCATCATCAACTCATCAACGCTAACTAGACCATTGTTAACTCCACGACACAACCCACTAAAATTTAATTAGCTTGATATTTATGTTGAGTTGGATTCTCACTAAAGTGCATGAAGCCAATAATTAAATGTTTTAGCTAGCTTTTAGTTGATTACATATGGGAGAAATAGAAAAGTGACGCAAGATGATAATTATATGATTGTATCCACATAGAAGATTTTCTTGAATAATGGAAAATCATCGGAGGATATGGGAACTCTTTGAGTTGCTTCTTCTACTTGAATATTTATTTTTTTTCACAAGATATCATGTTGAGGAAGATCCATATATATATTGCATATCATGTCCGAATTTGATCTTGGTGTTTAGGATTTGGTTAGATAAAGCCAAGTTTTTCTAATGTGAATTTAAACAAGTAAAAGATCCATTATAATAATTCAAGATATATGATATAGAAGATAAAACATAGTCCTTCTCTCTCCTTGTTTCATACTTTTGCAATCAATGGAGAATAGATAAGATGTCACATGAGGATAGATGAGAGAAAACTAGATTGTTATATATAATTTTTAAATGAAAATAAAACAAAATGGAGGAGGGACGATTAAATACTTAAATTATACGAGAAAATTATTGAACACATTGATCAACTGAACTGAAGTTGTTTCAATAGAATTATAAGTTTTTGGTTTGAGTTTTAGGTATATTTGTTCTTTCTAATACAATTTTTTTTATAAGCGACTTTAAAAATACATAATTAAGGTAATTAAAGGTTTACACTTTCTCAAAAATGTTAATTAAAGAATATATTTTAAAAAAAATTATAAATGTACATCTCACTATAATAATTGATAATTATTTAGTAAATTACACTATTTTTTCTTAGGATTTTTTTAATGTATTTACTATGACAGTAATTAGGTAATTTGAATATAGAATTACGTGTAAATTATTCTAATTAACTTTCATCTCTAGATTGACCTTCGTGAGTTTTTCTTAATTAAGAGATTACACTCACTTCAAAAAAAATTAAAAGTAACATACTTACGCACACTTTATAAACGCGATTAAGGGCAAGTAAAACGCAAAAATTCTTCTACCTACATATAACTACAATAGGTAAAGATTTGATAAAATTCTTATAGACATGATGAATTGTAGGTAAAAGTAAAAAATCTTTTACTTAAATAGGTTTGATGTAGGTAAAATCTCTAAAGACTTTCACGCACAAATGTTTAGTGTAAGTAAAATCTTTTTAAAAAAAATTATACCTTGGTGTAGGTAAAATATACCAAAATGTTTCACCAACAAATTAATGATCTTACCTAAGTTTATTTAGTTAAAATATTAAATTTTAGATTTTTTTTTTAAATTCAATCGAGTAAATATAAATAATTTAATAATATTA